CAGGATTTTTTTTAAGGAGCCAGCTTCATTGACAACTATAGAAAACCTTAAATATTAGGCATCAGCTGTATTTTCTAAGGAGCATTTGCTACCTGTCTCCTGGGATTTGTTCAGCCCTGATTTATAGCACTCTTACTCAGGGCTGCACCATAAGTGCACCTTGCATTTACATGCAAGGTCTGCTCTAAAATGTGATTGTTCCTTTACTTTAAGCGACACTAAACTTAGGGGTTAATCTTAAAAATGCATTTAAGAACCTTGACTATTAACAAAATGTATCTTATTTTTGTATCCCTCAGCTGGAGATCCTCAAAACATCTCTGAATTGGTGCTGACACTGTCCTTCCTTCTGGAGGGTGGCTACTTTTGTTCTCCATGGTCCCTATCTGTGCTGTAAAGTAGCCACCTCTGCAAGCTCGGTTCCATCATGGACTACAATCTCATGTTTAGTTTACTAATTTGTATTGAGATTGTAGTCCATCGTGGGAGCGAGCTTGAAGTGGTGACTACTTTACAACACACACAGGGTTCATAGGGAGCAAAAGTAGCCACCCTCCAGAAGGAAGGACAGTGTCAGCACCAATTCAGAGATGATTTGAGGATCTACAGCCGAGTGATGTACAAATAAAGGTGCATTTTGTTTAATAGTTGGCGTACTTGAATGCATTTTTAACTCCTGATTTAAGTGTCACTCTAGGCTAGTTTCCTCATAGCGCTTCATTTTACATTATTTGCTCTTTTTGGTTCATACTATGTCCATTTCTAGATGGTGATTCTGAAAGCAGTTCATTGTCCATGCCATACTGCACTAGCAGACATGCAAGAAACAACTTTCCCAGCTTGGTTGTGGTTATTGCAGGGCTGATGTTCCTCCTAGCTGAGCAGTTCTCCACTTAATATAAGGCTCACTGCCAATCCAAATGCTTTGTTGTTTAATAAAAGCTTGACTTTAGCTTTCCGTGTTGTTAGCGGCTAAGATGTGCCTAGTTTGTGCATGCACAATTAGATGATTCACAGCCATCGGTTAATGATGCTGATTATTGCATTTATACAGATATCTGGAGATATGGCCGCTGAACATGTAAATGGAAATGGTACAGAAGAGTCCATGGATACTTATGCTGCAGTTGTCCCATCAGAGCATTTGCAGACTTTGCTCGATGCTGGTTTACCACAGAAAGTTGCTGAAAAACTAGATGAAATTTACATTTCAGGTAAGACTTGGTTCTTGCAAAAACACTTCTATTTTAGAGTTATTTTCTCCATTGGATTCTGCCTAAATTAGCAACTTTTTGTGGTTTCCAAAACATGGGAACTGCAGGTATAATTTTTGTGCCCACCCCTTCAGTGCTTGAGGTGTCTAAAATGCCTAATTCTTCTGCAACAGAACTCTCGAACAGTGAAGGGGTTTTTACCATGCAATGTTTTCTCAAGATCGCTGGATATCTAGTATACTCATTTCATTGATATTGTTTTTGATCTTGACTTTTGCTACACTTAGAAAAAACAAAAAACCTCTATGGCAGTATGGTAATGGTATTAATAAAATAGAGGACTACGTGTATCTACGAATTGTAGCTGTTACATAATCTAAGTAGGATATGCATTACCTTTTAGATAGAATGTGTAAAATGTGGTATGTACCTGTGATGCTAAAACTACATGATACTTGGGCCTGCCTCAGAAATCCGTTCTTCACTATTTTTCTAAGGGTTGTGTGCACTCGGTTGAAGAATGTGGTGGGGGTGGTAATAGTCACAGGTTTTCAAAGCCAAAAATTGCTAGCCTCGAGATGTATGGAGGAAGGTTACAAACTTGGGAATTTTCTTACCAAACTAGGGCTGCAGCCATCTAACCAATTAATCGTTAATGAGAATAGTTGTCAAATATATAATCCTTATTGATTAGTTGGTTGGGTCCCCTAGCTCTCGTCTCCATTCTGGGAGGAGGGCGCAGTGAGCGGGTGGAATAGCCAGCCTGCTATCGCAATTTGAAATGGCCAATAGGCTGGTTATTGCACCAGTCCACTACCTGCTGTATTTCCATTCAGCTGCCCTCTGCGGAATCATGCCACTGGCAGCTTTCATTCCTCGGCTGAAGCTGTTCAAGCACCATGGGCTTACGATACAATTATTTAAAAAAATTCTAAAAGGTGGAAAAAAGTAATTTTCCCCAGTCATCTTCCAGGACAGCCATCGAGATATAGGCTCATTCGGCCTTACAAATTCTGTTGCTGGAGGTGCATTGCAGTGCCATTCATTTGTGTCACTCCAAATGCGCCTCTTACCCGCAGTGTGATCGCCTGCACTGGAACGCACTGTACCACAATGCCGTGCATTCCGGTGCAGTGTGATTGCAAAAAATTGTGCGTGCAGTTTTAAGTAAACTTTGTAATGCAGCATTTGTGTATTTAATTTTAAATTTAGGATGTTATTTACTAGAGCTGAAGCTGACTATTATTTTCAAAATCGATTAGTTAGCCGATTATTACGTTCGGTTAATCGGATAAACAATAAATAAATAAAAATGGCTCCAGTGATGGACTACTAGTTTGTATTGAGATTGTAAATTTTTTTTATCCGATTAATTGAACAATTGGCCAACTAATCAATTATGAAAATAATCATGAGTTGCAGCCCTATACTAAACCAGTACTATCCTTTCCTCTGAACCCTTCAAGCATACCTATATGGAGGGAAATGCTGCCATTTCTGACATCCTGAAAATGTTTATTGCCTGTCACCACACTTATATTTTCCAGTTGTAAAATATATGTAAGAGCAAGAAACTACTTTTTCTTTTCATGTGTAAGAAAGAACAAGAGCATCACTTAGTGGGTTCTACAACCTCACCAAGCCATGAAGATGATTGTATTGGGTCTTGGCACTCCGGCGATAAGTTGGAGGGTGGACAGATGTCTTGCCACCCATCACTTAGGGTGAACAATCTGCTGGTTGTGGCTAGCCATAGAGCTCTTTAACATTTACTTCAATGTGGTATCGAAAGCCATTTGCATATTACACCTGAGGTAAAGCAATTGGTTCAAAGTCTGTACAGGAAGCTGAAAATTATAACTGAGTGGCAATGGGTAAAATGAAAGTGGGCAAAAACAATATCAGGGTGTTGGCAATATAGCGATGGGTGCAGTTCCAGTTATTTCTTTAGTTTTGGATAGCATGTGGAAAGTTTAGAACCCCTTGGGAAATCATTGCTGTCCTGTGTCTCTATTCAGAAATATTTTCTCATTTCTTATCCCAAAGACAATGGTTGCCAAGCATAAAAGTGAGGGAAATCTCCAGCAGGCATACAAGTGTCACTAAAAAAGAAAAAAAATCTGTCAAATGATCTAATCCTCCCTGACTGTCCAAAAGTATACTAAACATTTTGTCTGTAGTTATAATGTAATATGTAGCTGTTGCTGCCACAAAAATGAAATGTTGTACTTACCTAAACCAGTGCTGTTACCACATAGCAGATGCCTTCACGTCTGGCCCTTAGTGTTAGTACTCTGGGTACCCGTGTCCTCTGAAATATGCTTGCTTACAGAGTTTGTCCTTACCCCTTTGTGTCGCCTAAGCAGCACTATTGAAAATGAAGACTACCTTGTGTCATGGGTCAGTTGTGCTGCTTATTTCATTGGAAAGGGCTAGGTCAGGTTTCCAATCCGGTTAATTCATTTCGGAGAACGTTGTATTCTTCTGACAAGGAAGGACCTAACTTGCAGGCAATGGTAACAGGTAAGTATATTCACAATTCTGAAATGAATGATTTCATGCATTATAGATTAACTTGGTGAACAGTTAAGAGGAGGCTAGTTAACCTCTTGCTGCCAGCTCATGTTGGCCCTTTAAGGGGCTCCTAGATCATGTTACCAGTGAGAATGAATGTTGGTTTGGTCAAGTGCCCATCCTAGGCACCCTATTGTAAGTTGTGATCAGGAAGTGTTGGTGACAGTGTCACTGCTGAGGGTCACCAATAAGCACAAACTGTAAACATATATGTGGGAGGCCATTATTAAACCCCCCCCCCCTGCTGTGTTGCCTCATATATGCACACGCCATGTGGCAAGTGGTTAATTTGCTGTGTATCAATGTTTCTGATGTATTGATCCTCTGTTCTGAATGCTTCAACTGTGCTGGGGATTGTCTGAAGTTTCTTCAGACCCATATGCACAAAAAGGCAGAAGGGCTTGGGTGAGGCACCTGCCAAGGAACATGTTTGAATCCTATTTATGGCCACCATTTAGTCAAACCCCAGGTTCACTCCACATAGCACTGTGCAGTTTTCCTTCTATAACAAAGTACAGCATAACACAAACTAGCGTCCTCCCGTTACCCTAAGCTCAGTATACCGCGAGCTGTAGCTATACTGAGACGCCGGAGCGGATCCCGACCTGGACGTCGGGATCCGCCCAGCTGCGTGAGTGACATCTGGCTCTGCCTATCTAGAGGCAGAGCCAGCTGTCCCCTCCCCCGTCCGTTCTGCCAGTCAACGCTGGCAGATCGGAGCGGGGAGAGGGGAATCCAGCCCCTCCCCCTGTCAAGGCAGAGAGCTGCGACAGGATCGAGAGGTGAGGGAACCCGGTATGTGTTCTCTCACCTCCCGATCTACTGAGCCGACCTGTGACAGTCTCATTGTCACAGGTCGGCTAGAACTATGAGGTGAGTGGAAATCACTCATCTCATAGTTCTCCTTTTAATTATATTTTAGCTATATTGTACATGTTGCTGAAAGCATTAGGAAGACCCGTCCCTGGGGGGTTCTAGTATCTCTTAAAACAGACTATTGATTTCTAAGGGGCAGCACCATCTGTGACTATATGGATATTTTAGACAAAAATCCAGCTGTCCTTCAAGAAGCCCCAGTGTGGTGTAGCATGTTCAATAAATGACATTTGTAGTGCAATGTTATCACTGCCTATTCTCCAATTGGACATCATTCATAAACACCTACACAAGGAAATGATTGTCTTAGCAGCTCTGGTGTTTGCAATGTAAACATAAATGACGATACCTAAGGCTTTCAGTTCAAACATTTCTGTAAGCTTTGAAGATGAATTTTCCACAAATTTAAATTTTTTCCTTATTTTGAACGTTGGCTACCTATGCCAAAATCAGGAGACACTGCAATCTTGGTCATATTGGCCATTAGGTAACAATTGCAGTTTTTAATGCGGCACAATTGGCCCTTCTGCCAAAAAGTAATTGTGTGGGAGTTTGGTGGGCTCTGCAGTACTTCTTGTGCATTGGTTCCCTGCTATAGTTTTTATGTCCTAGCTGTTTCCCTACAGGGAGGCAGGATTGATAATATACCCTAGTGCAAGTAGACCGCATGAGTCCAGTGCTTTCTATGCAGCCAGCTCACAGGCGACAGAAATGTAGGCCTCCGCACTTCAAGTGAAACTAAAAAGTGAAGGTTTGCTATGTCTTAGAAAACGATTGGTGCCTGAGCAGTCCCCAGCACTTGCTGGATTGAGAGTCTGCCTAGGCACTCCTATGCCTACAACCTTTTAGCTGTATATCTGCATTGTGGAAGTAAGGACTGCTAATGTGAGATTTGGTGATGACACTACTTTGTTGCTCGCTGTTCTCCTTGCTGGTGGCTCTGACATGAACCAAAGCTTTGGCTCTACCAAGATGGTCACCTCCACATGGAGACAAGGCATGGTAGGTTAGGAACTAGGAAAGATCACCTGCAGGGATATCCCAGGCACTACTGTTGACTAGTCTTTTGCCCTCTTCCTGTCTTTTTGGCGTAGCGTGCATAGTTCAGTTCCTCCGTAAGGTGGAGACGCAGTTAGTCCTTTGGAAAGACTAGTAGTTTTATCATACTCTGTAGCAAGGAACTGACACATGCACAGAACTGCATGCTTTCTAAAGAGAGCAAGGGTTGCCATTTGGGTCTTGGCGGATTCAAAGTGGTTATCCTTTAAATTGTTGTAGCATGTATATTTCAATGGGCGGATATGGGTATTTTAAATTTTATAAGCTTTATATTAAGATGGCATATTATGACGACTTTTTATGACTATATAATCAAGCAACTTACAAGAATGGACCTGTTAACCATCATCACACTCCCTTAATCTGGTTTGATTTTTCTATAGCTGATTAACAATGTTAGGAAGAATCTGGTTGCTTTGGGCATAATCTTTAACTTCCATTTCTAACCCTTCTGTACCTCCTGTACTTTTTTTTTTGTTTGGCTTCTTTGTCCGTTGACGTGTAAGGGCCCATTGCCGATTAACGCACCATACCACACATCTACAGTGCGGGAGGTGTATTACGTTGCCATTCATTTGAATGGTACCCCAATGCACCTCCTGCCTGTAATGCAATTGATCACTTCACGATGTTCGGTACTGCAATAACTTACCTTGCAGTGCCATTAGAGTAGTGCATGAAATGAATGGCAATGCAACACCCCTTTCCACACTGTAAATGCATGGTAGGTGCGTTGTGCAGTACTTAGTACTGATTAATGCATCACACAGGACTTATTCCTGAATAATCCAGCCTTGTACATTTTGATTGAGCAGTGAACTTTTGCAGGGATAAATCATTCTAGCCACTCGCCATAGCTTTTTAAAATAAATCGGTGTTCACGGGTCCTCCCTCTTTCTACCCCGTTGGCAACAATTAAAGTGCATTTCCCTATGGTCTTGGCTTCTCCCTTTTACGTAGATTTCTCCCTTTTTTTTAATGCAGATTTCTATCAGGTTTAGTACAGCCTGTTCTGTGTTCATGCTTCCAGTTGAAAAGTGATGGCTTACACCAGCAGGGTTGAGTGGGAACTCTAAGCAGTTGGCCAATTTGACGGTGTTAACAGCATAGTTTGAAGCAGAGCTGTGCTTTAACTGGCCACACCAAAAACATTCTCTTCTCATCCCCCTACTGCAGTAGGATTCTCTTGATTGTTGGGGTGCAATCTGTTAACTGGGATTTGTCCATTTTAGACTATTGTATGGTTGTATAATGTATTTGCATAATTATACAAGGTTTAGGGCTAAATTATTTTTATTGGGTAAATGTGAAATTCAATTTCTTTTTACGTTTATGACTTTAGTTTTGCATAGCAGGATGTCGGAATTGACGAATGAGTTAGAGGGACTTCTTGTTGAGGGTGTCTGTGTGGATTTTCAGTCTGCAGGGATGGCCAACAGCAGTGCTAGTCTAGTACTGGGCTGTTTCCATTTTCAGATGTAAAATCAAATTATTGGACACATCTGTTGTAATCTGTTGTAATTAAACGTTATCTAAAACATTTACATTTTTAAACTGTACACAGTCATTATCGTTTTCACGTTAAACACGATCTGTTAAATTTTTTTACATTATTTTGGTTTATTGAACAGAGCTCACTGCAAACAGTAGATGAGTACAGTGGTACCTCGGTTCACGAACTTCATTCATTCCACGATTCTGGTCGCGAACCGAATCAAACTGATCAGACCGCGATGTCGACTAGAGGAAGCCATGACCATGTGTCAGATTTTGCCCAACTTCCTGTTCGTGGACAGAAGCGTTCATGAACCGAGGTACCACTGTATGTGCTGTTATGAATGAACTCTACCCATCATTTACATGCCTATGGACTTGCCTAGTTTCCTGCAGTAACATGCATATGTTTTGCTGGATGAAAATTTATTTTAGTAAAGCATGCACACTAAAAATTTACATATTCTGAACAAGCAATAGAAGCACTTTACTGAGCCCTTATTCACCTCTGTATCTATAATCATTGTAGGGGGAAAATGATGTATTTTTTTTTTTATTTTTTTTTTTTAACTTTACACTATGAGGCCAGGTCTTGGCAGTCCAACAGCCCTCCTAGGTAAATGACGAGTACGTTTTTCTAACCTGTTAGGTGAAACTGACTATAGAGTCATTGTTGTGATCTTTGAGAATAAACTACTTCCCTGTACAGATGAGTGAAGGCTTGTTTGAAAGATCTTTTTAATATGGAACTAGTTTTATGACAATGTAAAGCTCACATTGGCGGCAACGCTGACCTGTAAACAAATTCCCGGCCACTATAGCAGCCAGGAGTTTCACTCTTTGAAGGCAAGACTAGTATAAAAGTGTTCACATACGCGTTTCGTTTGACTGCATGTGACATATATTTAATGTTAATCTTTTTGTAGCTTAAATGACTCCATGACCTGAAATGTTATTGTTCCCACAGGATTAGTTGCACATAGTGATCTAGATGAAAGAGCTATTGAAGCTTTAAAGGAATTCAATGAAGAAGGTGCATTAGCTGTACTTCAGCAGTTTAAGGACAGTGACCTCTCGCATGTACAGGTAAATGTGATGACATAAGCAAACTGTCAGCATGATGAGATCACCAGAAGAAAATGGCAGTTCATTTTGTTGGTGTAGAGTGAATAGCCATTGAGGCAGTTTGCTTGATGGGATTTTCTTGTTGAGAAAGGCAAATGTCGTCTAACCTTTTGCACCACTAGGATATTTTGCAATGTACTCTACCTTTTATAAGTGTGTATATGTACAGTAAAAACCTAGTAATACACAGCACTCGCTAGTAGAGATTTTTCAACAGTCTGAGTTGTCTAGGGAAAACCGTTCATGATGAGATGCTTACCTGATCATTGTGATGTTCAGATTGGGTGTTGTATGGCTACCTCACTTCCTACACATTTCTGACTTTGAATGCAGATATAAGCCAAGTCCAAGCAGCGTCAGCTGCCTCTTTGATGGTTTAACAAGTATGTCCAGGTACCACCATATGGCCCATTTATGTTCTAGAGCGCTATTGGAAGTGTGATGGGGGGTGTCTGATATGTGAACAAGGACTTCAGCTAGGGAGTTGGTGCTTGTCTGTGTCCTTCACATGGTTTACCATCAATGAGGCCACCCATTAATTGATTATTTTGTATTTGGAGGCGACAGAACAATGCGCCATCTTTCTTGCTGCACCTTTCCAGATTTTGGGAATACCATGATGCTGAAGATAACTCGAGGCTGTGCATGTGATTCCCAAAGTCCACTTGGACTGATTGTATGTTAGATTAAAGTTTTGGTGACAAATGCTTGTGCTTAATTCAGTATTTCTCTAGATTTACTGAATGAAAAGTTTCAGTGAGGCTTTTTTTTATATGAAATAATTTTACTTGTCATTCGCTTTAGAATAAAAGTGCCTTTTTATGTGGAGTTATGAAGACTTATAGGCAGAGAGAGAAACAAGGGACCAAAGTTGCTGATTCTAGCAAAGGACCCGACGAGTCCAAAATAAAGGTATGTGTTTACTGAAATAAACAATAGAATGAATTTGCTTGTTTTCACTGTTTGGTTTAAACCTGAACTAGATGATTTTTTATTTTTTTTTGTAGAAAAGGCGCATTGTAACTTGCCCAAATAAGTATTGTATGAGTGGATGACTTAATTGAAGCCGCCTTCTA